GACTGTGAGATGTAAAGTCAGTTCATACAGTCACAGGCCTTTCCTGTCCCAGCTTGTATTTTAAGGTGGAAAACGTATTCAGATCCTTTGCTTAAACGTACCACAGGAGGTTGTAACTGCTTGTGAAATGAGAAGATTGGTAATTTCTATATAGTTGTTCTTAATGCCTGCTGCTAGGTCTGATTCAGTCGGATTCCCCTTGAAATCAATGAAAGAAGTTGGTAGACACACCAGCACGTTTGTCCACAGGGGCCGCCAGAATCAACGAAAAGTGAAAGTTTTGCACTGTTCTAGCTGATCGAGATGGAGCTAGTTTTAACTTTACATACAGTTATGTAATGTAGTCCAGTTGCTCCCAACCTGGGGTTGGCCCCCCTCCAAAGATAAATCTTGGAAGTCATGGAATGATTAATGGGGTAGGAAAGAAGAAAAAATAAAGTTGTGCTGCACAAAATTGCTTTGTTTTGAAAATATTAGAGAATTTTGCCATCTAAGAAGTTTAAAGGGGAAATCGTTCTTTAGTGGAACTGCTAACAACTCATACACAATGTGAGAAGTGACCCCAACTGAATTGTTTTTTTTGTATGGGGTTAATCCTACCACTCGTTTAATCTTCAGCAATGCATTGTATTTAAAAGATTATCATGTTATCAATATCAATTTTTTTCATGAAAAATCTTAATCTGAAAAGTTACTAGTAACTTCAACCAGCTAATAAATATTTGAATTGTAGTGGAGTAGAAGTATGAACAGCATTAAATGGGAATACTTTTTTAAGTTAGATTTGAAGTTATGTTGTGAAGTGAAGTGTATATAGTCATCTGAGTGTTTCTTTGGGGTTTCTTTGTCCTTCTCTCGCCAACGAATGCAGATGTGTGCTCAGCTACGTATCTGAGCGTGTGCATACTGTACATACTGTCTCTGTTGATTTATGCTATTTTATGTATTTTTTTTTTGCCGGCTCATGTTTCCTTTAGAGGGCAACAATAGCTTTACACAGATGAGCTATTGCATCGTTTATCTGCAGAGACATCCACAGTTAGTTTGCATTCTCCCAAACCTCAGGCTTTGTTCACTCTGTAGTGACATAGCTGTCAGGTCTTCCTATTTATACTGCTTGGTTCTCCTTGTGGATTTGCTGATGTTCAGAAATCACATTTTTAATCTGAGTCACTGTCCGCCACAAGGGAAGAAGTTTAGGTTTTGAACGGTAATGATTCACTTAATGTGAAAATTAGGCTGATAAAAGCCAGAGATTAGAGGAGCGAATTCCTTTTAATCAGTCACATTTCTGAATTGAGGCCTCAGACCTCCCTTTTAGAGGTGACATTCAAGGTACAAAATGCTGCTTAGCAACAATAACTCTAACAGATGGGTTGTATAATACTGACGAGCATCTGTCTAACGTCTCCATATAGCATTTTTGATGCCAGTTAACCGAATAAGTACAGTATTAATGTCACTCATCAGTAGCACATAGTAGAGCTTTTCCTGTCATTGTTTGCTGAGCTTGTCTGATCATCCAACCTTTGGGATTCTCATGACGTTCAAAAACAGTTTACTGCACTGACTGGGTCTCTGGAACTATAGAGAACTGACTAGCAGCTGTTTTAATCTCATTTCCGTAAGCATTGCCATCACCATTACCAGTGGCTTTTAATGTTCTAGCCCAGTTATTCCCAACCAGGTGTACCTCTACTTTTATTTATGAATTAATAATTTATAATAAAACAGAAATTCTGATATAATTTAAAATACATTTCCACATACTTGGGTTTAGGAGGAAGATAAACATCCATAGGACTGCAAATTAGTGTGCTACTGATCTTAAGTGAATTTATTGTCATAATAACCCAGCTACCTGCTATGATGCACAGTAGGCTTCTCTCACCAACCTGAATCAGCTGTAACACCTAAGGTAAGACGAGATTGCATGAAAAATAGTAAGCAAGCTAGCAAAGAATAGTTAGCTAAAAAGTAATGGATAAACAAGTGAAATACAGTAGTGAGCTAAAAATAATAATCCCTTAAAATATTTAGCTATAGGCATGGATGTAATACGGGACTCAAAGATGGCACCCAGTCACTTGAATGAAAATTGCTCACCCAGCGCATAAACCATAAAAGTTTTCTAGCGTCCTGGTTTGCCTCCGTGCTGTGTGGCCCAGTGCATATGCACATGCACATGTAGTCTCCACCGGTACCATCTGTGTGCCCGCTTGGCTCATTTCAGACTGTATAGTAGGATGACTTCACTCACATAGGAAGTGCTTTTCTAGGCTCTGAGAAAGGGTTAAAATAGAAAACCTTCATGGATTAAACATTCATAATAAAAAGACCAATAATTGACCTTATTAGGATGTGTCTTGACAACAATTTTACAGACTTCTCTTTTTTGTGGGCTATGAGGAAAATGATTTTTACTCCTGAGTGGTGGTGCCATATCCGGCTCTCTATCAAAGGTCCAGTTTCTCAGCCACTGCAAGTGGTTGTTTTAGGAATGCAAACTTGACAGTTACTGACCTAAACATTGACAGTTTGATTGTACTGCAACAATATCCACTATGTAGCGTTACTTAACATCCACTTTAAAATCCATTGAAATGAACACATTTGGAACCTAACAAGTGGTGTTGGTGAAAGGATACTTGAGCTCATATAATAAGGATGTGAGGATACATAAGACAAAAGAGGTTAAAAACCACTGCAATACCCTGACAATGATTTATATTTTTTGTAGTTTTCAAATATTTTTGAAACCTTGGTAATCCCATAGGTATAGATACACATTCTTGCAGGCATTTGTTAGAGGAAAGTGTTTGAAATAGCTGAACTGGGTGTGTAGTAAAAGTTTTGGCTCAGTTATTCTGTTTGAGGCTTACTACTACCCTGTAAGGTAAAAAGAATGGTGGGCAGATGAATGTCAGGAGGAGGAGGAAGGAATAAGAAGCGACTTTAAACAACCTGTTACTATGGCATCACCTCGGTGCTATTTCTAATTAACTCAATCACTCAGGAGGCTGCTGAGCCGGGAGCTTCATCACAAATCTAAATGTATTTAGCCTTTTGACCCTTTTAATTCCTATTGGCTAAGATGCACACATAAGATTGAATTTCTGCTTTTTGTAATTTTTCGTCTCCATTTCATTCCTTTTCTGCTTACTCACCACATTTGGCACTTTTAAGAGGATTGGCTTTTGGACACATACGGTGCTCTTCCACTGCGATGAGAAGGTGCTGTGTGAGCTCTTCTACACATTGCAACTGTGCCGCAGAGCTGAACTCCAGAAGCTTCAATGAGAAATCCTTTTAAGGGAAGGTTTGAGAGCAGAGATACGGAGGCAAACAGAGGGTGAACCATGACAAATGCCTGTTTGTCATTTAATCGCGTATTCAGTTTCAGAGTGTCATTTTCCTAAAGCTGCTGGAAAATATCAACTTCCATTTCAGTCGCCTGAATTCTGTTGAACTTTATGAAATATTTTGAAGAAAATATAGTGGATGACCCCACACAGGAAAATTGTTTAAACATGCAGAGTTGCACTGGATATGAACCCTACTGGAATACCTAACTCACTTGCTTTCAGACTTGCTTTCTGTAGGGTGTTTTTAAAGGATTGTTGTGGCACATGTAGCACTCACACAGTCATTTATCACCCATACGTCATAAAACGAATATCTATAGAAATATCTAATCTAAATGAGCGGTATCATATGTCTGACATTATTAAAACTGGAATCTGCTCAATAATGTATTCCTGCAGAGTCACTGAAAGCTACTGAGGATAAGGACCTCACTAGATAAGAATCCCCTCAACCTATAAGCAGCACTTTTCCTGCAAAGCAAATCCTCAGACACCTACGCGATTGGGTTGTTTTTAATATGGAACGTTCTCGAGGCTCTCCCATCATGCACCGCTTGTGAATGAGATAATTTGTCTGGGGGCAGGCGAAGGGATCGTGTGGCGCGGCAGTCGAGTTGATCCACAGTGATTGACTGTAATGCTCCCTGTCAGACAGGCTCATGCAATGAGACTTAGCAGCTGGAGACAAATCAATTTCTCCTCCTAGCATCCCCCCTCCCAACAACCACTCTATTCCTCCTCATCTGACACTTTGCCTGTCCCTCCACTCCTGACAGCATCTGATGGCATATCCAACAGACCATCACACCGACCTTTGTCAGAAATCTGCTACACTGTGTTGGGCCACACACCTTAAACGCCTCAGTTTGTGCCATTAACTGACAGTCATCTGGTGTGATGGGTGCAGATCATTCCTCTGAAGCAACACTTAACTTTGAGAGAACATTTTCCCTTCTAGTGTAGAATCCCAGATGTCTGCTGAATGTCACAACCAGTGTTTCTCCCCAGCTATCATTAATGATACTTACAAAGGCAAGGCAAATTCACTTCTTAAAGGACCAGTGTGTAGGATTTAGGGCTGCCCCCTAATAGTCACAGAAAACAATCAGTATCATCTGACTGTACACAGGCTGTAAGCTTGAAGTACCAGAGAGGATTGTTTAAAACGCGAGCTTTGGATTGCCGGGTAGTTGGGCCTGAAGTTACATCATCCATGTATTAATAACTCCTTGAGTATTTGTTTTTGCAAAGTCGGAAGTTGTTTATTCTGTTTTTGAACAACGAGACTTGTGTGACGTTATACTTTGTTGAAACTAAATGTTCAATCTCCTTGCTGGTTGACACATTCAGAATCAGAATCAGAATTTTTATATATATATATATATGTGTAGCATCTAGGAGTATCTATTAGCAGAAAAAAACATAATAAATCATAGGTATGGTTTCATTAGTGTATAGCACTATAGTGCCAGTAGGTACATTTTGTTACCTTTGGACAGAGCTTTATGCTAAGCTTATCTTGACGCTAGCTTCATGTCTAATAGCGGTGGTGTCAACCCTCTCATTTAACTCTCAGCAAATAAGCGAATAAGTCTACTTTTTTCCCAAAATGTTCAACTATTGCTTTAAAAATAAGCTCACTTCTTTCATTAAAGGGCAGTCAGACATGCAAGATTTTTGTTTAAAGTGAGTACATGCATAACTTTCCAGCTTTCCCTATAAGCCTTTGCCCTGTGCTGGAGCTATATGACCATCAGTTGTCCCCAGCTGTGCTATGTATATCCTGGACCAGGTCCAGAGAGAGGACATTTCATAGTCACAAAACAGAGGACAGTGCATAAGCAGGGGAACAAGGGTGGGAGGGGAGTCGCCGTGTAGCTGCTGGTTGAAAGGCCCTTCAGGGTCTATTTATATCAGATGATTGCTGTTCCTAAATTCACTCAAAAGCACAACTCTGCATACACAGCCATTTTGTTAGAGTTTGAAGGCCTTCTTTAATAGAATGGCCTCCAAAAAAAAGTATGTGTGTGTGTGTTCACAGAAGAGTGAGTGCATTGGCAAGATTTTAAATGTGAAGGAGCACCTTTTTGTATAAAAATAGGAAAGCATGTAGAGAATAAGTAGATCACACATGCTGCATTACTTTATTGGGTATTTTTTGCATGTATGCTATATGTGTTTTTTCATGGGCACATGAGCTGCAGGAAACAAACACAGGCTTTTCAGAGGGGATAAAGGGGAATGAGGGTTATAAAGCGCAGGGTGCTTTAACATCCACTAGTTCTTCTCATTTATGCTTATCTGGCTGACGGGTGTGTAAATGGCTTTCTGTTGAAGGAGAGTCCCCCGGGGGAACCGTTCCACTGAGAGACAGTGACAGGCTGGTAATGCCGTCACCCCCTCACCCCCTCCCCTCTCTTCGCCTCCCCTCCAACCACCCAACCACCTCTCGCCGACCAGCCCAGACAAACATCTTGATTGTAATTGAATTTTTGGGACGGACGCTGTGTGACGGAGGACAGATTGGGAGAGAGAAGGGGTGGAAGGGTGGAAACTGAGGATGAAGATGAAGGAAGATGGAGTGGTGGAAAGGTTAGAGCAGTGACAGAGGTTGAGATTGAAGAGGAAGGAAGAGGAAATAGCACAGTGTTATATAGGAAAGTGGATGACAGTGCAGAGAGAGAGGACAAGGACAGTGCAGAGAGGGAGCTGCCGGGGATTAGCTTTGTTTCTACAGTAAATTCTTAAGGCTCATGATATACTGTAATACTCGCCTGCTTACTTGTGTACCTGAAGAATAAGAGTAAGGAGAGTCAGTGAGAATTGAGTATGTTCACCAGGCGGCAGATGAGGGCCGAATAAACCTAAGCTGAGATACAAAAAGACCACGAGAACCAGTTTTAGACAACGAAAGCATAACTAAACATAGCAATACCCAAGGGAATAACAGTAGTGTTAATGTTACGTGGCAGAGTCTGCTGCCGACATTACTTCACATTCTGATACACTGCCATTGTTGCTCATGTGTTTAATTGCATCTTGCAGATGTGCATTTTTAATTTCTGAGGACGCTCAAAACCTGAAGGAACATTATTGCTGAGCAGCAATGATGCACAGGTTAATGTGTGGTTAAGAGCAGGGGCAAGGGCATTCCACTGCATTGAAGCATTTAAGATGTCGGCCATTAGTCTGTTCTACACAACCCATAAGCTTCCAATTTATCAAATGTTACAATCCACACTGAATCCAAGAGATGTGGTAAGTGGTGATTATCAAACTAACTCCCGTCTGATGTGCAGTGCAGCTGTTTTCCTGTCTTGTAAAAACTCATGTGTGTTTGCTTTGCTTTTCAGTCAATCATTCACCTCCGCACGCATCTAATCTTGTGATCACTTAGATAACGGTTTACCTTGCTCATTAAATGCGTGGCCTGTGCTGTGTGATGTAGCGCCACTGCTCATTTTCACAGATGCTTAATAAGCCTAATATTATGTTTTATATCATATATTTCATAAAAACAAACTAATGGGCGCCTGGATAGTGCAGTGGGTAGAGCTGGCGACCTATGTACCGACCTGCGGCCCTTTGCTGCATGTCATCCCTCTCTCTGCCGCGCCGCTGTGGTGCGGGTGTCTGTCTTTCAGCCTGTCGACTTTAATAAATAAAGCGAGATAAAAGCCCAAAAAATATACTTTAAAAAACAAAACAAAAAAAACTAACAAGCAAATTTGAAGCGAGATGCTTCCACTATAAACAAACCACATAAAACTCACATGTTCTAGATGTTGATGAACTTGTTAACTATATAATAATCTAAATAAATGTGCCTACCTATATACTCTTCATAACGCTTATTTGAGAACTGTTTTGTTCACTGAGTGTTTGGTATAAGGGAGCCTGGTAGAGCTGTTTTTGAGGACAGTGACACCATAACGAAGGCGTACCACTGACTTCTTGTGTCTGTTGTGAAATCTCTGTATATTTACACCTGGCATATTTGTAAAAGCTTTAGTGTGGTAGTCTGGGAACATTGCTATTGAAAGCACATCTACCTACTTGGAAATGTTGTTGTTTGTTAGTTGGTTTGTCATTCAAGGTAACTGCAGTCTGTATGGAATGAGAAGATATTCCAAACTTACATGAAGGTACAACTTCAAAATGAGAGTTTCAACCGGTGTAAACTGCTGTCAGAAACTTCTGATCCCGGAAAGCAAACCTGGATTTAAATTCAGTGTCCCCCTCTTCTCAAATCCAGGTTTCTCTCCACGTCTCCTGAGCTGTTACGAACAGCAGATGCCGTAAATTGCAGCAATGAGTGCTGACAAGTTAATCATGCTCACATCGACAGGAAACAGATTTGTTTTCCTAGTAAAATTTACACTTTGGTTTGTAGCAAAGAAAACAAACTGTAGGTGTGATCGCACCCATAGAGTGTGATCACAAACACATTGACAAGCTCAGAAGTTACACGTTGGTCTTGTGATTTTTTGGGATGGGAATACTGGAGGGAAGTGGGGAAAGGATAGCTGACAGTTGGGGTTTTGGCCATGAGCTTCACTCACTGCACAACTCTATAATCTTATCTGTCACTTTGTCTGTTTGGATCTTTTGGTTATTATCTTTTGCTTGTATGTCTAAAAGTATTTCTGAGTCATATTTTGACAGCTTGCTGTTGTAATCCAGATGTGAGATATAGGATTTGTAAATGTATTTTTTTTCACGCCAATCATACATCTTATAATTTCTTATTCTCTCTGCCTCTGTTTGTCCCTCTGTCACCTCACAGATTTTATTTAGTCAGTGGTGGAGTGCCCCTCATCATCTGCGGGGTCACGGCAGCCGTCAATATAGACAACTATGGCAGCGGGGAGCAAGCGCCGTAGTAAGTCTTAAGATTTGCTTCTGTTCTCAAGGTTAAATTACACCATGGGTTTGGCACCATTTCATACACCTCAACAAAGTGTTTTTTCTCATTAGGTATTATTAATTATTTCCAGAAATAAACAGACTGAACATTTGATGTGCTAATATTAATGCTGTTTGCACCAGGTTTACAGTATACTGGATGTGTGTGCACGTGCAATGTGTGAGTTAGCATTCAGTGTTTCAGTTCTGCTGATGTTTTTTAAAATGTGACCATAAATCAAAATATTAAAATGCACTGGTATTCATGTGTGTTGCAGTTGCTGGATGGCATGGGAGCCCAGCCTGGGAGCCTTCTTTGGCCCCGTGGCCTTCATCGTCCTGGTGACATGTATCTACTTCCTCTGTACCTTCATCCAGCTGCGGCGACACCCGGAAAAGAAGTACGAGCTCAAGCAGCTGACGGAGGAGCAGCAGAGGCTAGCCGCTGTCGACGTGCCGACCCACTGCCACCAGGGAGCCGAGCCTGGGGCCCTGGCAGCCCCACCCAGTGGGAGCCACTGCCCCGCCGGCTGCCCAGGTATTCCCATCAACCCTGCACTGCTGGCCAATGAGCACTCCTTCAAGGCTCAGTTACGAACGGCAGCCTTCACCCTTTTCCTGTTCCTGGCTACCTGGACTTTTGGGGCGCTGGCCGTGTCACAGGGCCACTTCCTGGACATGATCTTCAGCTGCCTTTATGGTGCCTTCTCCGTCACCCTTGGCCTCTTCATCCTTATCCATCACTGTGCCAAGCGTGATGATGTTTGGCATTGCTGGTGTTCCTGTTGTCCCGGACGACGTGCCAATGCCTGCTCCGGCGCCCATGGGCCTGCTCAAGCGCGGCCCAAAGTCAACGTGAATGGAGATACCCCGGGCCACGGCCACGGTCACAGCCACTGCCACCATGACTCACCATGTCAGGGTAAAGCACTGATGAGTTGCAGTCATGGCAGTTTAAGTCACTGTAAACACGCCGCCCTTCCGTCCTCGCAAAATCATGTGACGTGTCTGGCACCTGTGACTCCGTGCTGCGCCGCCCTGCACAGCCAGCAGCTTATGGAGGAGGAGCCTGCAGCTACACACGTGCTGCTACATGCTGACCCGGAGGGTTACCGGCCGGGGATCCAGTTGCACCCCTGCCTAAAGAGCAGCACCAGGACTAAAGGCCGCCACTTCAGCCGCCGGGCCGGGGCTGGCGCTTGCGGAGCAGGGAGCGAGAGGGAGTACGCCTATCACATCCCCTCCAGTGTGGATGGAGGCAGCGTGCACAGCTCACACACTGACAGCCCCCACAGCACACATGAGCGTCACGCCCACATCTGTCCACATCTGGCCCACGAAGGCCACCATGATGGGCATCATACATGCCACGCTGCTGCAGCCACCACGCACGAGGCCCTGGCATGCCATAATCCCTGCCACCGGCATATCTGCTGTGCCAAGGCAGACCTTTTCCCTTCTCTGTGCCCGGCAGAGGCAGGCGACACAGGCGCCTTCCTGTGTGGGTGCGGCAAAGTGGCCGAGCAGGACCCGATGGCAACACATCACCATCTGGAGATGCATGCCCCGCGCAGACAATCCTACCCCCAGAACCCGCCCAATCAGAATGGGATTCTAAAGGGGGGGCTGCATGAAGGACTCCTGTACACCTCGGACAGCACAGGGAATATACGTACTGGGCCCTGGAAGAATGAAACTACTGTGTAGTGCGGGAAGGAATAACAAGGGAGGTGGCAGCACCCCTGCCTCGTCCCGCCAAAAATAAACCCTCGCCTCCCTTTCTAGAATTAAAAAAAAGAATTGAACATTTTAAACATCACAATCAGCGTGGGATATTTTTATTTTAATGTCCTCATGTTTTTATGTGTGCTGTTTTACTGTACAGAAATCTGATATCATGTAAATGCTCCCTGAAGAGCGTCCATACACAGAACAGAATCTCTTCAAACCAAGAAGAATTTGTGAAATTTGTGTCACATCATACCATCAGATGTAATTGAAGGTATTTCCACTCTTCCATATTACTACAGATCTCTCTCTATATATATACAAGAAAATGAATGGTTGTATGTATGAATATGTGTGTTAGTGCTCAAAGGCAACACGCTGCAAGATTTTTTTACACTTTGAATCTGAATCCATCAAATAGTCTATAAAGACAGTGAACCTCCAGTACTTTAAAAAACTCTTGGCATCCATGTTTTAGACGACTAAACCAGCAATTTTAGACTTCATGGGTATTTTTGCCATTCAGTCAAGCTACTGTGAATATCTACTAGAGATTTTCTAAATAATATACAAAGATACTGTCGCTTGTCAGAGATGTGTGGATGCCAGTTAAGTTGTTGAAAATTCAAAGCAACAGAAAAAGAGAAGTGAAATTAAGCATCCTCTTCCAGGTTGGTATTGATTGTGCCGTCTGTATGATGTCTTCACTGTTGTGTTTCTTTTTTCTGGAGAAAAGTAAATAACGGCAGCATCAACAACAACAGCGTGGCCATTGTGAATAGAGAGTTGATGTCATTGGATCCAGTGCATTTTCTTTTTCTTTTTTTATGTAACACTGTGCCACATAGAGCCAGGTCCTCACAGCGAGTCCATTGCCAAACTAGTGTGCTGGTTTTCTTCTCTTCAGCTCAGCTTGCACATGCTGTCAGACATTACAAAACCATTCTTTGTAAAAAATCTAACATTTTGGGGAAAAGAGTGTGAATGTGCTTATAGGAGAAACAACAAGCTGCTTTGGGAAACCTGCCTGTGACCAATGTTATTTTGTTATTTTCCCTCTTAATAAAAACTAACCAAACATTACAGCCAACCTCCCCCACTTTTATCTAAAGCCACAAAATGACACATGGCAGAAATGAGTGCAGATGCAATCCCTTTAAATTGTATTTATTTTAATTTCTCGAAACAAAAGCTCCAAAGCATGCATGCCTCGTTGTATGTAGCTATATTTTAACAGCGTAAATGAATGCTCATCCATGAACGTATTATTTGCCTCGACCAGATACGACTGCTGCAGCTTGCCATGTATCATTTTTGTCACACTCTTGGATTAAGCCTAGTTCCCGACAAATACTGTATTATTTCCCACTGGTAATGGCCATTTAACAAGACTTTAAGCTTAGGTTCATCCTAGAATCCAGTCCAGAAAATCGTATTGC